GGTACATAAATATTCGCGTCACTAAAACATACTATTTTGTAAGATTTAATTTACTAGATTGTACAAAAACGTTAGATTGCGCAATGCTTTTCTGTCATATAGGGCCCTCATGGGAGCTTTATGCAAAAAAAAGATATATATATATAGTAAAATTTAACGACAAAAATACCACACTGTCTTAACAATATCTCAAGAGGCTACGCCGAAGGAGAAATACAATAATAGTGAAATCCTTACTGTGAATCTCATTGTGCGACAAGTTCCGAACTGCAGCGAAGTTGGGGAAGTTCGAAGTCTGAAGGAGAAAATTTCTTGCTACGCTTTCTGATAATCTCCGGGAGCTTATATAGTATAGATACGTCGTAATCGACTGGCGAAATACTTTTTTTTTATTTCCCCTTTCCACAAGCCCCTTTCTCCACGTTCTCTGCATATCGTAGCCTGAGAAATAGATATTATTTACGCAGACACATACTTCTGACGCATTTTTTTTTACAGAGACGAGGCCGACGTGAACGACAACAATAATCACTAAAGAAAGTTGCGGTAAGCACCTTCCTAGCTATTTACAACGTATGAGATACATTTCCTGTTAAGCATGTAATCGCTTTTTTGTTGGTTATCGCGTTTGTTATTAAAATTTAGCGCTTGAACGTGGACTTCTTTTTATTAAAACGGAATGATTCAGGAATAGTTACGGGTTTGGAGTGGAGCTTTTGGCTCCAAAGATGGTGGGTTCTTATCAGTATTGCCGATGGTTCATCATAGATGCGCTGTTCTTAGTGCATCAAAACTTGTGACGCAGTCACCATCAAGCGTATATATGAATTCTTTAAAAATTTAGTTTTATTTGTCAAAACAAAGTTAAGGTTTTTTACTACCTGTTCTGCTCATCAAGATTATGTAAAGGCGGGGGCACATTTCCCTGTACCACTTGAACGAGCCATAATAAAGAAGTAAAGAAGGAGGTAAGGGTCACACCTTAGTTTGCAAGTTTTCACAAAATTAGCACACGAAACGGCTTGGAACTAATCCCCGGAAATTACAGAAATGCAATCAGCAGATACATCCTCTTTCGTGACAGTAGCTGCTGTAATGTGTTATAACTCACTGCGCACAAATGACGTATGTGCAAAAATGTCGCTTGACCTCTATTTTAGTGAGTGATCTGCATGAGAGTATAGTTTTTAGCGCCAGGTGCACTTTGTTGACGTTTGTGTTTAAGCACACGCGTCAATGATTAATGAAGTACAGTCAAAAGTATTAATCTTAGTCACAAATATGAATCACCAATTATCAGTAGACTGCCCACTTCTTGATTAGAAATAAATATGTTTGAGACGTTTAAGAAACTCTTCGTTGTGGCCAAGATTTGCTTAAAATTCGACCAAAACCGTTTTCTTTTTGAGTCCTTAATTTATGTGCAAATGTATGTTCGTTCGCGATATCGTTTGCGAGTTGTAAACAACCTGACTTTGAGAATGAGGGTTTTTCAAGCTCTGGAAGAGTCGGTGCTTCGGTATGGTGTCACACTTTATGGTTCTTGTTCGAACTTTTGAAAAAGTTTAAATTAGATAATATTTTGCATAACATTTGTAGAAATTTGCCATATGGAACCAAATTGGATGACTTAAGAACAGAGTCAAAAATGCGTTCGCTACAGCTTTTGTCAACCGAAAGATTATATATCTATAAAATACTAGTTAAGAATTATTTTAATAATACGTTTAAGAAACCTGTAAAAAAACTAAAGGTTTTGAGAAAAATAGAGCGGTTCGCCCTTCCTAGAGTATACACAAATTACGGAAAGCGGGTTCGGTGTTTTTACGTTCTTCATTACTTTAATTTGTTGCCTAATGAACTTTTACATCGACAGTCGTTGAAAGTGATAAAAAAGAGCTTAGAAATTGGTGTTGTAACTACGATTTTTAAATTGTTGTACGGGTCAAGAGTATTTCGTTTTTCTGCTTATTTTGTGCTTCGCATTATTTGATGTTAGTAGTTTCTCTGCTGCTTGCCAGGTCACGCCTACAAGCACTCACGTGCTTTTGCGGACCTGTTTGTAATGGTGTATATTTCTTCGTGGCAATAAAGATATTATTATTATGATCTAGGAAACGGTTGAAACGGAATGCGCACTAGCGAATAGAATATGTAAATATATTGTAAACGGAAAGTGTTTGAGCCAAGTTGATTCATAAAGGCAGACACAAGAGTCAACATAATCGTCATAGTGAAAATCAAAAAAGCTAATCCACAAAATTTCAAATTTTAACTGAAGCAACCATACATTATTACGTATCTTGAACCACGGGACGTCTTGCGATTGATCTGCTAACTAATTGGGGTCAAGGTCAAATTTGTTAAACACTCCGAGTTTTTCTTGGGAAAAGATATATTTATTAAAAATATTGCTTCTAAACTCAGATCCGCGCAATGAGTTTAACGCGATTGTGATTCTCGAGAATAATCCGGATCTTTATTGCGATTGGCCTAAAGTCAAGAATTTGACTATCTAGTCTGATTTTTCAGGCACTTATTAATATTGTTTTTTTTCTTCCCTAGATAATTCTCCTGGAAATTTTTCAGGCTTTGTGCAGGTGTTCGGCTGAAATAAGTGCGTACAGTTTTCAAATAGAATAGCCAAAACAGAGCGAAAGGGCCGACCCTCCTAGAATCTCGGAGATATGCGAAAGTATGATCCAATAGATATCGATTACTCTTCGCGGCTCCAACTAACTATAGGTGTCGCCACTCGTTTTCCAAAATGGCGGTTATAGTGAGGGTCGGAGATGCATGCTGCTGTTGAGCCTGTCTGGTGTGCTGGCTTCACTGAGCGAGACAAATAATTTCTGGTAATACGAAGAAGCTAGGGTTTTATGAGCGCAGGTCACCTCTTTATTCTGAAAAGAGAAACGGTGTTTAGCGTCATATTTACGCAAGGATGCGGGTTTTAATTCTTGAGCAAAACCGAAACTAAACTGAATTTTGGATTTAATGTCTCAGTATAGGTCTTAATTTTGGATTCTTTCATAACGCAAGATGTGTCTCACATCGTAATTACTTTGTTAGAAAAGTTGTTCGCGGAAACTTTATTTTGTGACATCCATGTTCGATCCAGGCTGGTATTCTTAGTTGTAGTTGTTGAAAAAATCAGTGCTGACATTTTTGCGTTCTCGCTGCCTTTTCTCCCTCAAATAATTGTCATGGGAAATAATGAACTCCGGGCTTTTTAATGGGTTTTAGGTATTTATATGATTAATTGGTTTAACATTATTCCGCGCCCAAGAATAAAAGAATAATTCCAATTTTTACAATATGTCCACAAAATGTATAATTAATAAACATTCTTTTCACTGCAACAACCCAAAGGGGGAATCCGAGTCAGACAGCTGAAGTGTGTGTGTGTGTGTGTGTTTTTATAGCAACGCGCGACGCATAAGACTTTTTATTACATCCAGTGTTTGACTGTTTGTCTGTCTTGATAACGATATCAGAGTGTTTCATATGCTAAAAAGAAAACTAAATTATACCTTTCTGAAAAAAACTATTATGGTTAAATGGCGTATTTACTTGATCTTGGCGTTACTTGGGGGCATACATTGCCGCGGTTTATAGTAGTAGTAATAATATTTAAATTCAGATATTTAATTACGTAATTTTTCAAGCTCTAATAAAATTTGTTGCTTATGATGTAATTTCAAACGGGCGAACACATATGACAATCAAAAGTGTGCTTATTATCATCACCGCGCCAGTTGCAGCATTTTTGATTTCTATGTAATAAAATCCAAATAGTCTGAAATAAATGAAAACGCTATAGCTAATGTGAGAAATCTATGTAAAATTACATTAATTGTGGGTGAAGGATATTTTGCTATCAAACTCGTGACTTTTAACAATCGGCAAAGCGCCCAAAATCGCCGCCAATATCCTTCGAACCAAATGCCCAAAAGTAAAAAAAAACAAAACAAAAAAAAAGCGTTTTTTATTATTTTTATTTTTTTGTAACATTTAGTTACTTTTATTTTTACGCTCCGTCGTTTTGCCAATCTCAGCCTTTCCAGTTCGAAGGAACGCCTACCTGCATGCACCTCTCTTCACCGCAGCGCGTGTTTCGTTGGCCTTGGAAGCCGGTGAAACAGTAGTGAGTTTTAGTATTGCGTATACGAGCGAACGCAAGCGCTGTGTGTTTGCCTTAGCTTTGCTTCGTTCCACACTGCGCGTGCATGGAGCCCGAAATTGCGGTATTGGATGGCGCATGGCGATGAGGCGCACGCACAACGTGGGGCACGCAACTCTAACACAAACGCACGCCGCTTGCGTTTGCTTCTACGCGCAATACTAAAACTTTCCAGTAAGGTACAATCCCATACCGGCTGCAGCACTACGTTGAGACAGTGAAGAGTGTTGTTTGCTTTCGGAAATGACATTTGGCGAGCCATCATCGCGAGCAGTTTCGCCGTGGCCGCTGAGCAGGAGGATCGGGGGACCCTCACTAGAGCGCTTCCCGTTTCCGCCGCGGGAGGGCGAGCGTCGAGCTGGAGACGCGAATATGCGAAACGTTCAAAGATTTGTTCTAAACAAATCTTTGAACTTTTCGTTCTTGCTGTATTAAAGGTAACTGAGCTCTTTCGGGTCCATAATTTCTTTTATATGTTTCAATAATAATAATAAAAAAAAAACATGTATAGCACGTAGTACATATTTTTCCCACGTAGCGCATATTTCCTGCTCCTACCAGGACACGTCTACTACTGTTGCTACTGCCACACACATTACACGAGCAAGAATGAAACGAAAAACAAATAAGCCAGTGCATAACATACGCTGTAGGTAATATAATACGTTTAAAAACACCAAGCTACAGCGGTTAAGACCTGCGAAAACAACACATAACACGTGTCCTTAAAGCACGTCGCGTAGAGTATATAAGCTGCTGAAGGGGATCGGAAAGTGTACCGAGCCGGCATTCGAACCTCCTACTTCCAGCCACACTAGGGACCAGCACTCCAAAATGAAGTTCATGGTTAGCGCAAAACAATTTCACTCTACGTTTTTTTTTTTTTTTTTTTTTTTTTTTTTAATTTGGTATTTTTAAAAGGTCGAAGACTTTGTTACTAAAACAGTGAAAGGTAAAACCATAGTAGTATTGTTCTGAGGTCTGGAATAGATCGGACATTATTGACAACAATTTCCTTCTATACCTTCTATATTGAAATAGGCGAAGAAAAAAAATTTCCCCGCAGAAAATATGTGGGATGAATCTTTCGAAAAAAGGGTTAAACAAAGTATGCATCATTCTTAAATTCCTCCAAGTTTTTACGTGATGCCCGTTATAAAGGCTATATAACTATACACAAAGCACAAAGTTAGCTGAAACTGGACGGCACAATACGCAAAGAATAGTAACCGGAAGATAGGAAGAATACTTTCAGACGACGTAAGATAAAACAATAATGAATCGCCACCTACCGCCTTTAAGATTAGTTATTCATTTTCAAAATTTTGGTTTCCTCTTTTGGGAGGAAATACTAAACGTTAGGGGATATATAAAAAAAAAATAGAGCACGAGTTGTACGGACAAATGAATAATAAAAAAAACAAAAAACAATGAGGCTCTTTCTTGTGTTTATGTTAATGTTTAAAGAACAACTGCCCAGCTTTTCGCCTTTAACGGCATAGTTTATATAGTAAATGATTTACTTTTTGACCCCTTCAGACGCCAGCTTAATCAATCTCTTTTCACAGTTTAATGGTGTTTCATGAACTCAATGCGCATACATTTAAAGTGGTCTAAACCATTGGTAATAAAAATGTATTTAGGCTGTTTAGCAAACGGTAGGTCGATCACCTTTACAATTCATGTCAATGTTTATAACAAACCTTACCGTTTACCAGGTCGCAGTTCTGGTGTTTCTTCTGGCACTGGCCCTGGTGTCTGCTGGAAGAACCTACGGCGGTCATCACAGAGGATACGGTCATGGAGGCTACGGCTTTGGGGTCGGCCACGGAGGACACAGATACGGAAGATCTGTCGGATACGGAGGACATCACGGCCACCACGGAGGCTACCGTCACGGAGCAGGACACCACGGCAAAGGGGGCTACGGCCACGGATATGGAGGACACGGAGGTCATCGCGGTCATGGAGGATACGGTGGACATGGTTACCGTGGACACCACGGGAGGTAGAGAGAAGACTTCTGAACTTCCCAAACAGAGTTCCTTTCCAGTTCCACGTGCCGCAAGCTCTGCTAAATATGAAATATATCTGAGAATGCTTGCCTCGTTTTCCTCGAATAAAGGGAAGACGTACCGTGATATCTTTGCGAAGAAATGCTTGGTAGTTTCTATCAGGTAACTCTAGATATTGTTATAATGCTTGACAACTAGACAAAAAACAAGCGTTGGTCATTACTAAAGTTCAGTGTTCTTGTGTTTTTTTTTTTTTTTATTCGGGAGGACCATACAGTGTGTTTAATGTCTCGACAAATTCAGTGCTTTTGTGTAAATAGGTCAAGTTTTAACCAATTTGACAAGAAAAACCTTAAAGTTGTAAAGCTCCTCCAAAAAAATAATATAAGACCCCGAAATAGAATTTAAAAAGAAAAATAAACTCCGAACGCATGGAGCTCTAGTTACGTACGGGCAGTGTGACAATGCCTTAAGCATTATAGATATTTTAGTTGAATGTCCTGCTTATCATGAAGAACGTCTTTTGTATTTTTCGCAACTGTATCAAGAACGAGTCCCACTACACCCAGCTCTGCTCTTAAGTGATGATTCTCTTGTGACACACACTAATGTTTTAAAATTTTAGATAGTATCGGCCTTCTACACCGATTGTAGCTTTCTTAACCTGCAGATCATGCCGATCACCCTTTTACCTTTTGGTACCCCATTACCATCTTTTATCGAATCACTGGCTACTAAAGCCTCTTTTTTCTCTCTAAACCTTTTCCAGCAATAGTCTTGTTTTGACGCTCTATGGCCTTAGTAGCTTTTGCGCCATAAACACCAAATCAACCAACCAAACTAGTTATTGCGTACGGCTGCCCAGCGAAATAAAAATGGTCTCAAAGAAAAAAAAAATGTAACTGCAGATTAGGTTGACTTACGAACGGTTGGAACGTTTGTTTGGAATAAAAATGCCTTTTGGTATTTTTATAAAATACCAAAAGATATTGGAATAAAAATAGCTAATTGGTCCCCAAACTCAAGCCACGCGCCCGACGAGATTTTATCAAGACCCTAACACTCCGACTGTGCTTTTCGTGCATGACTGTAAAATGCCCTGCATGGTTAATTGGAGTATTTGGTGTTTGTCTAGCGTGTAATTTTGTGAGAGGTGTATTCCACGCACGCGAATCTCTGAGTAGATGGCGCCTAACATTGTTGACTCAATTTGAGAGAAGAATATTGTACGCAAGATCCTACCTTCTAAATTATTCTGGCACCTACCTCTGGCACCTACCTGCCTAAGTTGTCAAACTCAGCTCAAGAAACACAGGGAGCGGCGAGTCCCGAAATTCTTATTATCGTTCCTTACAGAATAGTACTGTGGCACTAGCTGATAAGGACGCAAAAAAAAAAAAATCACAAACAAGATTATACAGACTAATCAACGCCCTGAGTTTCTTAAGCTCTCATTGGCTATAGATCCTTCGAAAGAATCGATCGCTGTGATTTCCAGGCGGTGATAGCGTGACCATGAACGAGATTTTCAACATCCTCCTTAGCTATCATTCTCAACTTAAAGTCAAAATGGGAAATCACGTGGTCGTGACGCAGTAGTTCACCGGATGTGATGACTGCATGATTCATTCGTGTTTTGTTAAGCACGTGCAAAGAATGATTCCCAAGTGATGATAAGTGGTGTCACGGCACTCAGTGAACACGAACGCGAATCTAAATATTCGTCGACTGATTGATTGTTTTCGATCGCGAACGTCCGATGGAGGTAGTACCAGTGTCCAGTGCGTGAGCTGGGTTCGGTTGACGCGCTTGGGTACCGCGGATGCATCGCAACTTTCTAAGAAAAGAAGGTAAGGAATAGCCCGCTACATTTTCACATTTTGCGTAACTGGAGTACAGGCTCTAGGATTTCTATCCTCGCGTACTTGTTTTCTTTGTGACTCACTAAACGATATATATAACTCTCGTTCTGGGAGTATCGCGATAATGACATGAGATGGTTTTCATAACTAATGCTTTCTCCAATTATTCAGCGAAGGCGAAAGAAATGCTGATTTGGAGCGTTTAGGTTCGGTTAGAGGGCGGAGAGCATGAAAAGGGTTCACCGGATGGCAGTCAGTTCGGCTGCTGGTAGCGGTGGGGCCGGATGCGGCGTGACTGGGTGCGACATGGCTGGCCGCGTCGGGCCTCCGTGTGCTGCATCCGTGTAGCCCTCCCGAGCGCTGGCCAGTGCAAGTCCGGCGCCGAGGCTCCTTGAGGTCTCGGGGTCCGCTGCAGGAGGCATGAGATCAGCGCCCTGAGGTTCTGGCCCATGATGTGTACTCCGCGAAGCTGGGATGTAGGCCGTCCGCAGCCAGGACCCGGGGGAGCCCGCACGCCTGCAGGTTGTGCGTGTGAAAAGACAGGCCGGGTGTGGACATGCATATGTCCGTCAGCTGCCGGTTGAAGATTCCGGCTCGGTGGTTGAAGACATCCGTGAAATGCCTGTTAGGAAAATGGAGATGGCGGTTAATGATCCGGGGCAGGATGTGGCTGCAGACGACGAGTTGGATGCCTGGTCTTGTTTGGATGTGGTGCAGCAGGTGGAGGTAGTGTTGACGGATGGGCCGAGGATCCTGAGAAGCTAGGTCATTAGTGGCGACGTGCATAATGACGATTCAAACGCTTGGCGGCAGTAGGTCGACTTCTTGGTGGAAGTCCGGGATGTAACCGCCGTTGACAGAGACAAACATGGTCGGGAATCGGCGGCAGGAGGGGTCGAACCCAATATGGAGATACTTCACTTGCGAGTCGCCGAGGACGGCGACCGTTGGCGAGTAGTGCGGATACATCCTGGTAGGTCGCTAATGTCTGCGCTGGACAGGAAGAATCGTTAGTGTATAAAAAGTGGTGAAGGTTTACAAATGGTTCCGTTGATATATAGGCAAAAGTTAGGTGCGCGGAGACAGCAGCCGTACGATGATAAAAATAAAATTCTAATTTAATAGCGAAAAAAGTCACGCAAGAAAAAAGGGCGAAGTGCCGAAAGAGATTTGTATTAGTTTACGGGAATATTGAAGGCTAGGCACAAGAAAGCTAGTTACGCGGGAAACAAGCTTGAACTATATATATATATATACACACAACACGGGCACTTCACACCATCGTATGTGGTCTCCGAGAAGGATATAAAGGAATTTGTGCAGATGAATGAACCGTACTTAATCCAATGAATCAAAGAATTGAAGTTTTCAGGATCCTGGCTCCGCCGTTTTTTGGCTTTCGGCGGGTTCCTGAAAACTTCAATTCTTTGATTCATTGGATTAAGTACGGTTCATTCATCTGCACATATTCGTTTATATATATATAAATATATATATATATATATATATATATATATATATATATATATATATATATATATATATATATATATATATATATATATATATATTGGCCATGATGGCCATAGAAGCCAAGGGGCGGAAGACGTGTATATAACGAAGTGAAAAACTCGCGGTGAGAAGAAAACAAACAGTAGAAGTTTAATAAACAACTTCGCCGAGAGGCTCTGCTTTGCCATGAGATGTCTTACAAGTCAGGACATGTCTCTGCGGCAAAGAAGTTGAGGGTTGGGAAAAAAATCAACGCAACAGCACAAATGCAAAACGTTTTTTTTTTTTTTTTTTTTTTTTTTAAATTTGTATTACCAAGATACGCGATCCTACAAAAAAAAAAAAAAAGAAAACTTGACTTGGGCCCGCTCCTCGTGCGGGGCGGCAAAATACAAAGTGCGCTTGAACACCTAGCGCAATGGCTACAATAGGCAGTAAACGGGTGACGTCTTAGTTGCCGATTTCACTTAGTCGCCCAGCGAGCCGATGGATCCCCGCGACGGTCGCACGTCCTGCCAGCATACCTCGGCAAACCTCACTCATGAGGGCCCTCACTCACCCTCACTCACCCTCATCCTCACAGGTGAGGTGAGGGTGAGTGAGTTTCTGAACCAGGAAAATTCATGAGTGTGAGGGTGAGTGAGGGCCGTGAGGGCTGTGAGGGCGGTGAGGGCCGTGAGGGCCGTGAGGGCGGTGAGGGCCGTGAGGGCCGTGAGGGCGGTGAGGGCGGTGAGGGCGGTGAGGGCCGTGAGGGCGGTGAGGGCAATGAGTGCGTGAGGCGCCCTTCAGATCGAGCATCTTTCTCAGCAATTTTGGTGTTAATGGCGGGTTGTTCTCTAGCTTTCCCTAGATCGACACGAATTGCTGAGATCGGGTCCGGCTCGAAATAAGCAAGCAACTCGGAGCAGTTCGAATACGTTTGAAGCGGCTGCATCCAATCAGGGACGCAAAATTTTCACGTGATACCTCGTGCCGGTGATTATGACACCGAAAGACTTGGTTCTGGTTTGAACTCGATCGTTTTTTGGAAATAAACTGTTTCAGAAAGGTGCATTAGCATTCTTAACGAGGTTTAAATGCATAAAAACACGTTTATAACGCGTAATTGTGTCTACATAGTGCAAGAAAAATAAAATTTTATGATGACGATGGCAAATTGCAGCAATTGGTTGCTGCGTGCGATCGCGGGCGGCCCGTGTTGCTGGTGTTGCGACGTAAAGCTTCTGGGCGAAATCGCCCCATCTGAAGCTGGCCTGAGTGGCGTGATGGTCATGAGTGCGTGAGGGGCGTGAGGGGTGTGAGTGCCGCAAGGGCGGTGAGGGGCGGTGAGTGGCGTGAGGGCGGTGAGGGCGGTGAGTGGCGTGAGGGCTGTGAGGGCCGTGAGTGGCGTGAGGGCGGTGAGTGGGTGAGGGCCGTGAGGGCGGTGAGGGCCGTGAGGGCGGTGAGTGCGTGAGGGCCGTGAGGTTCAGTGAGGGTGAGTGAAGGGCTGAAGGTGAGTGTGAGGGTGAGGGTGAGTGAGGGGCTGAAGGTGAGTGTAGCTGTGAGGGTGAGTGAGGGGCTTAGGTGAGTGTGGCTGTGGGGGTGAGGGTGAGTGAGGGCGACCTAAAATGCCGACCTCTGCCTGCCAGTCGCGCCGCGCGTGTCAAGAAAAAAAAATTGCAAAAAAATGGCCTTTTCTTTTGATTGTTAAAAGACAAAATT